GATTCTGTTCTGAAATGTGATTTGTCCTTTTCATATGTGTTCATTTTTTTTAATTGTATCCTTTGGTATATATGGATGTGACTATTTTCTTCCACTATTTGATCTGAAGAAGTGGGTCTGGCCCACGAAAGCTCATCATCTAATAAACCATCTTGTTAGTCTTTAAAGTGCTACATAGTCCTGCAAGTAGGATAAATGGTGTGACAACACAGTCAGGGTTCCCCCAACACTGCACCCCCGAAGCAGCAAGAACAGACTCCACCAGCCAGTAGAATAGAGGGTTTATTGCTTCTCCAGGATACAGCAAGGCATAGACAAGCTATTGCTACAGGAGTCTGGGCCAGGATGCCTCCGACCCCTTGAGATGGGGTCCCTGGGCCCCTAGATTCCAGCCCCCTCCTTAGACTGGTTCCTTCATGATTCTAGCCCAAGACTGCCACTGCCCCTTCACCCAAAACCTGGTGTTGGTCTCCGCCTCCCTGCCTTTGTCTCTCTCCCTGGGAGGCTGAACCTAGGTGTCTGGGTTAATACACATTTGGATGAGTCAGTGAGAATCTCAAATCACAGCACAGGGGGACCCTGGGTGACAGAGCAGACAGCCCCCCATTACGCCACAGATGGACATGTTAAAACATGGTACAATTGGTGGGACAGGTTCCCACCTTAGTCTAGAATGGGTTAAGGAGCTTTGGTGAGATTCACCTGCCAGGCCTGTTGCATCTGGAGGTGAGGTGCAGATCCTTTAAAAAGGAGGATTCAGGCCCAGTGGTGGACGGCACACAGAAGAAATTGGAAGGAAAGAACAGAGCTCTCTGTCCCCATCATCGACTCTAAATTGTAGGTGATTGTACAACATGCAACTCAGCAAACAGATCCCGAGAGCTATGGCTGCCTTTCCAGGTAGATTTATTTGTACTTGTCCACAGTCACTGCAAGAGTCAGTTGGCCAACAGCAGGGCTGGACCTGTTACCCTGTGCTTTCAACAGCTAGAGATTCCTTTTAACTTGAATCATATTAACTTGTGTTCCCTACCAACCTATTGTTAGGCCCTAGAAAAAATAGGCCTAGTGCAGTTATGCTAAAGCAAATGTAACAAAGGTTTCTGGATAGTCCCTGGGCAGAACTGGAGATAGGTTCAAGCAGGGACGCACCCTACACGCTTGCTCAAGTTGGCAAAATGAGATAAGCAAGAAGCTGCATTTTTGTACCTGCTGTGATGAGGAACAGTTTGTTTTGAGAACTGATAAGAAGACTCCCTGTTTCTGCTCTCCCCGTTTGTTCCAAACTCCCTGTTTATGTTCTCCTTTGGCCATAACAAACTGTCTCCTTATTGCCCAGTACCTGTCTTTTGGGCTGATAAGAAATTGCTGATGCATTATGAATTGCTTAAGGCCATGATGTATAGTTGGCCAGGTATGCATGGGTATTAGAGGTTCTAACTGATAAAGGGGGGTTGGTTGCTTGGGCGAATAGTCTATGACGCGACGGAATTGTCTATATAAGCCTACCTGTAAATGAAATCGGGGCTGGTTCTCTTTGGAGATGGGCCGCTCTCTATTGTTGTGTGCACCATTCAATAAAGAGCTTGTGATTGGATCTTGCTGGTGTTGCCTGTCTCTTTGCGGTCAGACAACTAACAGAGGCCGTCCGGGTTCGAGTCCCCGACACTATCCTCCTCCGGTGAATAATTAAAGAGATGGCAAACCCAGACTTTCAATAGGAAACAATCTGAGCTAATCCCACAGTATACCCCACCACTGCATGACCAAAGTCCAGAGTGGCATCAGTGAAAGCATATTGTAAAAATTGAGAAGGTACACCTGAGGTCACACTGAATGGCTCACAAACCTTAGTTTATTTTCTAGAGCAAACAGACCTAAATCCTCTACTCTTCCTGAATGAATAGAAAAATAAAGCAATGAAAAACTAGACAACATGAAGGGGGTAGGGTAATGAATGGGGACAAGGAGGGAATTAAACATGGCTCAGCAATGAGTCAGCTGGCATATTGCAATATGTTTCCTTCTTATGTTTATATAGTTGTGAAGAGATCCAGAAATTTGGGGAGAGATGTTTTAATAATGAGGCCCATATGGGCATCACAAAAGCATGTGTCCCCCCCTTAATTGATAATTCAATCTTAACAAAAATATTATAGGTCTGTAGGATGTGCTAAACTAGGGAACTGATTATGGCAAAATAGATTCTGTACAAAAAAATGGAAAAATAAATCTCTATTGATTCAAACTAATCTATGCTCAATACCGTTAGCAGCATTTTTATGACGTTGTATCTATAAACAGGTTCAAACACAACCTTTGGAGCATACAGATATAGATATCCAGGAGATACTACTAATTAATATCTGTAGAATGTACAAAGTCTCACTCAACTGGCTCAGATAAAGAAAACCCTAAATATGATCTGAATACACATTGCCCTGAGATTTAAGAGCTAGTTTAACTTAAAATCCAAGTGTGACAGTCTGTATTAAATTTTAACCAGAATTGGAACAGTCACCTCTCATTTTTATACAGGACAGCTCCTGATCTCTGTTCCCCTAAACATATTAATGGGTGTGTCTAAACTGCACCCTTATCCTGAAATAAACTATGCAATTTGAGCTATGGAAATTGCGTAGTTTATTTCAAGTTAATTTTGAAATAACTTATTTTGAAATTTGGTGCTCTCTACACAGCACCAAATTTTGAAATAGAGAGCTATTCCGAAATGTCCCTGAGTCTACATCTAGACTGCATTGTTTTTCCAGAATACTGGAAAGCAATGCCACATCCACAGACTGCGTAGGGTTGCCAGGTGTCTGGTATTCACCCAGACAGTCTGGTATTTGCAGGCTCCGTCTGGTTAAAAAAAAAAAAAAAGAAAAAAACAGGAAATACCGGACATGTGAAATGTCTGGTATTTCCTGCTTCCCTGGGACGGGAATCCAGCAGGGACAATTTTCCCCTGCCATGTCTGGTGAGGGTGGGAGAGTGAGGAGCATGGCAGAGTCGTAGTGAAGGGGGGCAGGAGGGGAAACTTGCTGAGTGCCATGCTAGAGGGGGCGTCGAGCTGGGGTGGGAAGCTGGCCATGTGATGCCTCCCTCTACACCAGCTGTAACCAACCCATGGCTTGCATGCCCTGGCCCCTGGCTTCCCTATGCTTACCAGGTTGGAGCTGTGGGGTTTTAAAAATGGTGCCCAAGATGATGGCCGTTTTAAAGGGGAAGCCTCCTTTTTTTGCTCAACAATTCTATTCTGGGAGGGCTCAGAATGGTTCAGTATTTTTTTGCTAAACCATCTGGAAACCTTAGGAATGCGTCTGCTTTTCCAAAAATGTTTTTGAAAAAGCAGACACGCTCTTTCGCCATTGCTGTAAACCTCATTCCACAAGGCATAAGGGATCTGTCGAAAGAGCAGAAATTGGGCAACAAGTAGACACGCCAAATTTTGGAAAAGCCTCTTTCAAAAGTAAATCAGGAAAAGATATGCAATTTGCATTCCACGTATTGCGTATCTTTTTCCGATTTAACACTGCAGTCTTGATGTAGCCTTAATCCTTGTGGAATGAGGTTTACAGGAACATCAGAATAGCTAGCCCATTATATTTTGAAATAACAGGCTTGCTCAAAAGACATGGAATAGTTATTTCGGGATACTTCTGGTATCCCAAAATAGCTCTGCAGTGTAAACATAGCCCTGTAGTAGTACTACTGCTGTACATGGAGTGGCATAGCAGAAAGCTGATCCACTGGTCTTTCTCTAGCACCTTACAGATTAACAGATGTATAGGAGCATAAGCTTTCGTGGGCAAAGACCCACTTTGTCAGATGCATGTGGTCTTTTCCCATGAAAGCTTATGCTCCTATACATCTGTTAGTCAGGTTGATAAGGTACTACAGGACTCCTTGTTGCTTTTGCAGATCCAGACTAACATGGCTACCCCTCTGATACTTGATCTTTCTCTGTAGCTCCACCAGTTGTCTTCCACTGTGGAGGGGTGAGGCAGCTAGTATGCAAGCTCCTTTATCTTTCTGCTAGAAAACCTGGCTGGCAATCCTGTACTCCATTCCTGACTTGCCCTGACCTCTGATTTCAAAGGTGCTAAGTGGTATGTACAGTCCTATGCTGTTCCTCTGTAGAGGCAAATTTCATGCAGGGGGCTTCATTTGGAACACACACTTTTATTTCAGTATCTCTTTTGATCTTGAGCAGACTAAAGTTTATATTACCCAGCAGTGTCCACATGAGCTTATTGCAACAAGAATCTATTAAGCTGAATACCATGAATATTTAAAGTCACTGAATATTGTTGTAGGTAATATCTGTAGCTATGCAGCTTTCAAATTAAAATAATCAAGGTAATTAAATCAAATAATGTCAAGGACTAATCTGATTGTCTGCAGGAGCTGACAAAGATTTTATTTCTGCCAAGTAAATTACTGCACAGTTGGCTTCCTGTTCTTTTTGGGGGGGGGGAGAGGGTGGGAGGGTGTGAAGAAAGGAAGTAACATGGAGATGTCACTTTCCCTGATACTAGTTACTAGACAAGAAGGATGTATGGTCAGATCCGTTATGGCAAAATGTATGTGTCTATCAGTGGGACAACTGTTCGCATTTATCTTAGGCTCCCTGCATAGTGATGAAGAACTAGTTTATCAGGCAGGTGGACATTCAAGGGGCTCTTTTGTCCATAAGCATCACTTTTGTCACAGCTCTTAATTTATATGTTGCCTTCTTTATTTAATTTTGTAACTGCATGTTCCTCTCAAGTCTTTCAGAGCTGTGATTCTTGCTAGACGAGCCCCTGCCCAATATCAGTGTATTTACTCTGTTTAATCCTAAAATGTAAATAGGTTAGCTGAATGTTTTCCACTTAAATACCCGTTTTCCCTCTCTGTAACAGAGCAACCTCTGTTCAGGGTGATCAGACGAGAATTCACCTCCTGGGCGTGAGCCAAACATAACGACAGATTAACTTTGCCCTATCAGCGCGTGCTGACTTGAAACTGTTAAGAGTCAGTGAAAACATTTAATTGGATCAGTCTTGAAAGAGGTAGAAAGTAGAACATGGGAACTAAAACACTGTGTCTTCTTTTGGCGTCTCTTCTGGTAGCATATTATGTTTACACACCCGTTCCGGAGAATATTGAGGAACGCTGGAAACTAATGCTCATAAATGCTGGCTTTAGAACTATAGAACATGTGGTAAGTTTAGAATTATATTTACTGAATGAAATTGTGTATGAACTTGAGATCAACTGATGTATTAATGTGGAGAACAGAAAATACAGAACAAAGAATAATATCAGTGTCTCTGGTTAAGGAATATTCAAATACCTGAAATTGCAAGGAATTGTAACCCTGACATTAAAAAATAAATTAGAGAAAAATGAAATATACAAATGTGAATAAATACATAGAGTAATAATGGAAATATATTAATTTGAATGCAGATGAGGAAGTGCAAACTTGTAGTTGATATATAATCCTGTCTAGCTAAATTACTGCTTCTTGTTTTTCTTCATTCTTGTGCCTAACTAGAAATACTGTAACAAGAAATTCCTGTTACAGATTAACTCGGTAACCCCTCTGAAGCTTTAGAAATACTGTATCAGACTTCAGAGGAAGGAAATTGAGCGGTGCATTTAAGTATGGTACAGCATTGGGGGATTTATAGTCCTTGCGCTCATGGGTGAACTTATGAATAAACACCAGCTAATTATAGAAGTGGTAATATAATCAATCACATATAAAGCTCTTAGACTTTCTAATCGCTTTCCCTGGGTACTGATGCAAGATCTAACTGTACTCTTGTGCAATAAGGGAAGAGCTGGCTAACTCAGCAGCACAGACCCATGCACAGCAGTCTAGAAATAATTGGTATCGTGGTGTGGCTAGAAGGCTATACGGGACACATTCACCTGCATTCTGAGGCACACCTATGCAGTTGTCTCTATTACGTGTTGGGCTTCATTTTAGTCATATAAGTTATGCAGCCATCACTAACATAACTAATGCTTGCACGCCATGTTCACACAACAGGGCTTTTCTTCCTGTGTGTTTGAACAGGACTGGAGTCTCCAGCTCTGGGCAGTCAAAGCTGTAGAAGTTTTGTGAGAAACATGCATCTACAACTTCTGATGTACTCAAACTCCCCCGGCCTGAAATGCAGCCTGCATTTGCCAATCAGCAGAGGCTGCAGCACGTTTTTTTAATCTATAAACGTTTGTCAGAGTTCTCTATAAAGTGGGAGGGGACTTGCCTCTATCGGGATGTCTGCTTTTTGCTTTGCCCTGTTAAGAGTGCACACAGAAGGTAAACACTGAGGGAGGCAGGGATGGGGTCCGAATTTAGCTTGATAGTTGAAACTGCAAAGTTGCTCTGTTTAGGAGGCTGTAAACACCAGGGCTCAAGTTTCAGAGGTTCTGTTTTATTGGGGGAGGGACGGGGGACTCGTCTCACTTCTTTGTTTCCCAGCTTGGGATGCTTGGGTATGATTTGCAGGGAAACCAGGCAATAAGTATTTGGGGGTGGTGGGATAATCTATTTGTGTTAGTTGGGAAGTGATTTGTGGGTGGGGCATAAGAGGGGGGAAAACAACCATTTAGTTAATAAACTAGACTCTGCCCTTTGATTATTTTATTTTTTTTGTCTCTCTCTATCTCATTCACCCAGCACTGGTTTGTTTGATTTGTTCCAAATCTCTGTGTGTAGAAACAAAAAACAGGACTATGTAGCACTTTAAAGACTAACAAGATGGTTTATTAGATGATGAGCTTTCATGGGCCAGACCCACTTCCTCAGATCAAATAGTGGAAGGAAATTGTCACAACCATATATACCAAAGGATACAATTTAAAAAATGAACACATATGAAAAGGACAAATCAAATTTCGGAACAGAAGAGCTCACAGACATTTACCTCCCCCCCATCCCCCTTCTGTTCTGAAATTTGATGTCTGTGAGCTAATGATATTAGAGGTGATAATTGGGGAAGCTATCTTTGTAATGGGTAAGATAATTAGCGTCCTTGTTAAGACCTAGGTGTAAAATTTAAACATGAATGACAGTTCAAAGGATTCTCTTTCAAGTCTGGTGTTAAAATCTCTTTGAAGCAGGATGCAGGTAGTTAAGTCCTTGAGACAATTCCCTTTCTGGTTGAAATGGGAAGAAACTTTTTTTTTTTTTTTTGATCCTGTCTAATATCTGTTTTGTGGGCATTGATTCTTTGGTGAAGTGTCTGAGACGTTTGTCTAATATACATAACTCTTGTTAGCTTTGTGAACTTGGCAAGCCTGAAAACTTTTAATTAGAGAGCCCTTCAAAAGGGATAAAATCACCAGCATGAGCAGATTTCAAGTTATCCCCATGCAAGAGGGACTGTCCAGGGTGGCTGCAAAACTACACATTTTAAAGTGCCTGTAGTTGCTATGGTGTAATTTCATTGAGTGGTGTTTAGGGTGTACGGATAGCAAGTGTGAAAAATAAGGATGTTTCCCTTCTGCTCCCCCAGAGAATGGGGGTGAGTCAGTAATTGCTTGTATAAGATGAAGCTCCAAATACTGAGACATCTGATTGTCCTAGGACAGTGGTCTCCAACCTTTTTAACCACAAGATCACTTTTTCAACTTAAGTGCAATGTAAGATCTACCTCAAACCCATATACTTCTGTCCCACTTCCTTTCTGCTCTTTCTCTGAGGCCCTATTTCACCCTTTCTCCAAGGCCTCACCCTGCTCACTCCATCCCCCTTCCTCTCCCATCCTCACTCACTTTCACCAGTCTGGGGTAGGAGGTTGGGGTGCAGGCTCTGGTCTTGGGCCAAAGGGTTTGGAGGATGGGAGGGGCTCCAGACTTAGCCCTGGGTGGGGGAGAGGGGTTTCGGGGTGCAAGCTCTGGGAAGGACTTTGGGTCAAGGGGGACTTACATTTGGGGCAGGAGGTTGGGTGCAGGAGGGGGTTCAGAGCTGGGTCAGGGATTCAGGAAGCAGGTTCTGGCTGGGCACCGTTTAACTGAGATGGCTTCTGGGTGGTGGAGCAGTGAAGTTAGGGCAGGCTTACTCCTGCCCTGGCCCTGTACCACTCCTGAAAGCAGCCGTCGTGTACAGCGATGGCACCATGGAGCCATGTGCTGCCCCTCATCTACAGGCACTGAGCCCACAGTTTCTACTGGCCACAGTTCCCTGTTACTGATCAATGGGAGATGCAGGAGAGGTGTCTGCAGGCAAGGATGGCATGAGGAGACCTCCTGGTCTGCCTTTCTCAGGGGCTGCAGGGACATGCCAGCCACGTCCAGGAGCAGCGATTACCACAGGTCAATCATTTTAGAACTCGCTACAGTAAATGTAAGTGTATGAGAGAAATGAAAATTCTGAAATGCACAGAACTGTCAAAAACCAAAACTAACCCACTTTGCAAGTAGTAAAAGAAGTAACAACAACCCCCCACCACCATGTGTGTGTTGGGTCGGAAGAGGAGAGTGAAGGACAGTGTGCATGTGTGAAAATGATAGACACACACACAGGGCTCGTCTACACTGGCCCCGATCCTCTGGAAAAAAAGCCCTTTGAAGTAGGAATAAGATCCTCCGGAAAAGGGCTTTTTTTCCGGAGGATCGGGGCCAGTGTAGACGCTCTTTTCCGGCTTTTCTAAAAGCCGGAAAAAAGTGGCGGACATTTTTATTTAAATGCCACGGGGGATATTTAAATCCCCTGCGGATTTCCCTATTACGACCTGTAAAATTAACATGCCCCTTTCGGAAAAGGGGCCAGTGTAGACGCTCTTTTCCGGCTTTTCTAAAAGCCGGAAAAAAGTGGCGGACATTTTTATTTAAATGCCACGGGGGATATTTAAATCCCCTGCGGATTTCCCTATTACGACCTGTAAAATTAACATGCCCCTTTCGGAAAAGGGGCCAGTGTAGACGCTCTTTTCCGGCTTTTCTAAAAGCCGGAAAAAAGTGGCGGACATTTTTATTTAAATGCCACGGGGGATATTTAAATCCCCTGCGGATTTCCCTATTACGACCTGTAAAATTAACATGCCCCTTTCGGAAAAGGGGCCAGTGTAGACGTAGCCACAGTGTGTAAGAGTGATAGAGATTTGCTTTGCCAAGCTCTCTCCCCATCCCGCTTTCTCTGTGTGGAGGTGGGGTACAGGAGTGGGAGAAGGAGGGACACCCTGACATCAGCACCTGCCTCTCCTCTCTCCCACACCCTGCACAGCAAGCAGGAGGCTCCCAGGGGACAGCTTCAAGGCAAAAAGCAGGAGCACCATGACAGTGGGTGGAGGGGCAACTGAACTGCCAGCGCTTGATAGATTCCTGGACAAACCAGTTTGACTGATGAGGACTAAGAAAGAGAGAGGAAGACTAATGTTCAGTTCTAAGACATATTATTCTTTATGTCCAAGGAAATAAGAAAGTGAGAGGCTACTTCACAGGGCCCAGGGCCACCAACAGTGGGAAGGAAAAAAAAAGGCAGTTGCACCCAGGGTCTGGTTATTCACAAGGGCCTGGGGCTTTGGCAGCAGTGGCCAGAGCCCGTTTTTCCGAGAAAACTTGAGGAACGTTCACACCGCAATCACATTCTTTCGAAACTAAATCGAAAGAACAAGGGTTTTTCTGATGTTGGTAATCCTCATTCTACAAAGAAGAAGCCTTTTTTCAAAAGAGCTTTTTCAGAAAAAGGCATGTGTGGACGGGGAGGAGGGTTTTTTTTTTTTTCAAAAGAAGAGGCCTCCAAAATCTCACAGGTGCCCTGGTGGCTACTCTATACAAAGAAATCACAACTCTATAGTTCCTGTCTCTTGGCCCCTCTTAAAGTTGCAGGCACCCTGGACAAGCCTTGTGCCAGGAAGTCGGCTTCAGAGCAATATCTCACCATGCAGCTCTCCCTGCCATAGGCTTTGCCAGCCAGGGCCAAGCCTCGAGCCCCCTGCAACTCCCCTGGCCTTCACAGGGAGCAGCCTCAGGGGTCCCAGGGCCCACCCAGGTGGAGCAAGAGGTGCGCACCGTCCTGGTCTGGGCTGGAGATCCTGTCCCTCAAACTGTGGAGCAAGGAGGAGACTTTGCAGGATCTCTGGTACAAGCGTTGAAATGCGCACATTGATGGCCAGATGGCTGACTCCATGGCAGAGCGCGGATACCCACCCAGGACCTTGGAACAGGTCCGGAGTAAAGTAAAGGGGCTCCGCCAGGGATATGTCC